GGCTGTCCTGACCCTGCCGCGCCGACCTCGTCGTTGTCGTCCCTCGGCGGCGGCGGCGTCGCCGCCGACGCCGCCGGCGTCACCGCTGGCCTCCGAAGGAGCCGTGCTGGCCCGTGCCCCTGCCCTCGAAGCTGCCCCGACCTCCCAGGCTCCGCTCGAAGCTGCCCCTCTCGTCGCTGCGCCGCCCGAGGGCTGCCCGCGGGCGGGGCGCGTCCGGGCCTCTCTCTGCGCCACCGTCCTTTCTGGAGGGCGGGCCCCTCTGCGCTGCCCGAGGGAGGCTCCCGCCGGCGCGGTGGCTCCGCGGGCCCGAGGGCCTCCACCGCGGGAGTGCCCGGCGGCCTCCGATCGAGGCCTGCCCCGGGGGCCCCCCCAGGAGCTGCCCGAGGGCCTCCCCCCGACGGCTCCCCCCCCCAGGAACTCCCCCTCCTCCTCCTCCTCCTCCTCCTCCTCCTCCTCCTCCTCCTCCTCCTCCTCCTCCTCCTCCTCCTCACCACCACGCGTCGGCGCGACACGCTGACCGAGTCCCAGCCCCCATGCGTCAATGCCCCGAGCTCTTCGAAGCCCCCCGCCCCACGAAGCGGAGCGGCACGCCATCCGCGTGCAAGGCATAGCGTGTCGCCGGGGCCGCCGCCCTGGCACGCTGAGCAAAAGTCACCGGCCGTAACGTCTCGGCGTCCCCTAAAAAAGCCCCGCCCTGCAGTTTTCGATGAAGAAGGAACGAACCACTTGAGCATAAGCCTTCAGAAGTCCATGCGACATTCTTGGATCGGCACTGGGCACCCCTGACAGCACCTCCTGCACCACTCCTGGTGCGATCCGCGCGCCAGGAGGGAGTGGAGGGGGGTCGAGCGCCGATCCAGAGAAACACGCAGACCTTCGGAATGTCATGCTTATTTGACTAGACTGCTGCTTGACGGCGGCGCGTGTGGACTCGCGGGTGAAAGCCGAGGTCGCTGCCGATGACGCGGGGACGGTCAAGGATATTTTCTTTGGTGGGAAGCCGTGGGTAGTCTACTGCGTGAACAAGAGGACGGGCGCCAGCACCCAGCACTTGCCGATGCTCGCGAAGGCCGCCGAGATCCTGCGGCCCGAGGGCATCAAGGTCGCCGAGGTGCACTGCTGGAACCCCCTGCCGACCAAGAGGGGGCCGCGGACCCTTGCGAAGCGCTTCCGGTTTCAGGATTGGGGTGGCAGCTCCTGAGAGGGGGAGGCAGTCACCCGATTTGCTTCTCTCGGGGCGCGACACTGACTAGAGCCGACTCCATCCAAGTCAGTTGGGCCCGCTGTGGCCCAACGGTTGCCTGACCCAGCTTGTTACCCAGACTACCCTCACATCGCGAACAAAAATCACGACTTGAGGTGCTCTGCCATGGTCGGCTTCCGTGGACCGACTCAGGATGTCCGACGCCTACTGGGGAAGTGGTCGCGACTTCCGGAGATCCGCGCGACAAAATCACGACGTCAAGGGTCTGGGCTAGCCTCCGTGATCCAGCTCAACAACTTACCACCGTGCCCACGAAGGCTTCACAGGAGCTGCCACCCAACAGGACCGGCCGCCAGTCTCCCTCTTTGTGGCCGGGGACGGCAAGCCGCAGGCACAGGGGGGGAGAACAAGATACCCGTACCGAGTCTCCCGAATAGGCAATGCCTCGATTGCCTTGTTTTGGGAGCCTGTGCCACGGTGCGCACGAAGCGAGAAAAGAAATGTCTGGGGTGAAAGTCGCGTGCCCCCCCCCAAAAAATCTAGTGCTCACTCTGACCAGGACCTTCGAACGAGTCCGGCCGCGGCGACCCGGATCCGGCCGTGGCGACGAGGGCTGCAGGAGCCCCCCGAAGCAGCGAAAAAACGGGCGAAAGGGCATCGGAGTCGGGGGTGAAAACTCCGCGGGCCATTTTGGCCCCAAGGCCCGACAGCGGCCCTCTGGAGGTCGAAGCCGAGGAAGCAGACGCCGGGCGCGACACGAAGCGAAGCCCCTGAATGCAGCATCGTGGGAAATCGCAACCGGGGCCCCAGACCCGAGCATTCTGCGGCATGTCTCGGGCGAGAGGGCCCCGGTGAGAACAAAATTATCCCGGCAAAGCAACCTAACAGCGATGTGTAGGAGCATATCTGGAAGCATCCCCCTTAAGATTCAGATGAGAATCCAGTTGTAGAGTTCTGCTGTTCTCGCAGTCGTAGTTGCATTCGCGATGACAGTCGCAGTGGCCTGCATTAGCCTCAGCCTCAGCCTCAGCCTGCCTCAGCCTCAGCCTCAGCCTCAGCTTCAGCCTGCCTCAGCCTCAGCCTCAGCCTGCTCCTGCATCAGCCTCAGTCTGCCTGCAGCCTCGGCCTCAGCCTCAGCCTGCCTCAGCCTGAGCCTGCCTCAGCCTCAGCCTCAGCCTTAGCCTGCCTCAGCATCAGCCAGCCTCAGCCTCAGCCTCAGCCTCAGCCTCAGCCTTAGCCTCAGCCTCAGCCTGCTTCAGCCTCAGCCTCAGTCTGCCTTCAGCCTCGGCCTCAGCCTCAGCCTGCATCAGCCTCAGCCTGCATCAGCCTCAGCCTCAGCCTCAGCCTGCCTCAGCCTCAGCCTCAGCCTGCCTCAGCCTCAGCCTGCCTCAGCCTCAGCCTCAGCCTGCTTCAGCCTCAGCATCATTCTGCCTTCAGCCTCGGCCTCAGCCTCAGCCTGCCTCAGCCTCAGCCTGCATCAGCCTCAGCCTCAGCCTCAGCCTGGCTCAGCATCAGCCTGCCTCAGCCTCAGCCTCAGCCTGCCTCAGCATCAGCCTCAGTCTGCTTCAGCCTCAGCCTCAGTCTGCCTTCAGCCTCGGCCTCAGCCTCAGCCTGCCTCAGCCTCAGCCTGCCTCAGCCTCAGCCTCAGCCTCAGCCTGCCTCAGCATCAGCCTGCCTCAGCCTCACCCTCAGCCTGCCTCAGCCTCAGCCTCAGCCTGCTTCAGCCTCAGCCTCAGCCTGCCTGCAGCCTCGGCCTCAGCCTCAGCCTGCCTCAGCCTGAGCCTGCCTCAGCCTCAGCCTCAGCC